GTATAGCCCAACATTGGAGGATACTACGTTGGATCTTAACTTGTCTGAGTTTGACATATCTCAACCTAGCAAGCTTTCTTCTTAATTCCTTTTGCGATCTTCATTCCCTTTTTCCCACGTCCCACAGATCCGTAACCCTTACCGCTCCCCGCTCTACCCAAGATTTCCCAAAGCGATCCGGAGAATCATGAGGGGAGAACTCCACCTCATTGGTTTCTTTAATCAACGACTTAAAAAAAATGATCTGGTTGCGAACTGTTTCCTTCGTCAACGGACAAAGTCGAGGGCGAAGGTCTTTCCGTAGGGGTAGCATGAATAATTGAGGTATACTGCTTTGAATCTGATGCGGGATAAAATTTGCCAAAAATAGCAGGGGCTGTAGAAAAGTTTCATCCAGGCTTTGAGGTCGTGATAGGAGGAAGGGGAATTGGGAAGCATTTTTTGGCTGATTTCATGCATGTCAGAGGTGAGATTGGAGTACAGCTCATTCAAGACCTGACTTTCCTCCTCTCGCCTGAGGATCTCATCATGGCGTGATTCTGCTTTTTGGATGAGTTAGGTTCGGAGCTGCTCGAAAAGTGCCATGAAGTCTGGTGGGGCGGAGGAGGAGGAAGAATTTCGATGGGTGGGTAAATAACCAGGGCCGCAAATTGGTTGGAGACTCTGAGTAGAGGTGGAAGGAGGTGGGGGGGGCGGTAGGAGTTTAATGCCTTAGATGTGGATTCTTTGAACTTGAGATAGATCAATAGGTTGCACCGAAAAAATGAGATCATTCCGAGGGGCTTGAGGATCGAGGCAGAAGATGATTTTGGCTGGTTGTAAGACAAATGGTGGTGCTGGGGAGAGGGCAAGAATGTCTGAGCCGTTAAGGGATTGAGGACTTTTGGTCGAAATGACTCCGATGATGACAGGGTCCATCTGGGGTACACAAGACACAATAGTATTTAGTTGAGTAAGAGTGAAATGAAAGTTTTCAGATTGAGTCAATTCATAAGGAGGTGGAAGACGTCAGGAAAAAAATAAGAAACTATGAGTAGGGGAATTGCAAACCATGATCGTAGTATTATGAGGATTAATAATGCTACGATTCTCATGGGGAAGTATTTTGCAAGGAGTGGGTTGCAGGAGAAGGTAAGGAAGAGACGAAGGAAAAAACAGAAGGGAGCAAACACTAGTTTCTCAAAAATGTTGTCCAGAAAGGATGAGTCCATTACGTAGATCCTGCACTCAAAAAATGAGGAATTTGGTGTTGGTAAAAAATGACTAATCCTAATGCTGGTTAAATTCCGCTGTTTCCTGAGTCTGCTTTACTTCTTCCTACAATGCCTGCCCTTTTTGTACTCTTTTGTGACTGGTGTGCTTCCTTTTTTTTTTTTTTTTTTTTTTTTTTTTTTTTTTTTTTTTTTTTTTTTTTTTTTTTTTTTTTAACGTGAGAGTTTGAGTCTAAATCAGATAGACATTGAAAAAATAGGAGGATTATTGTAGCAAAAAGGGAGAGTGCAAAAAGGTGCTAAATTGTCTTTGCTTTTATCCTTTCACATGAGTCCAAATCAGAGAGACAAACACCCGAATAACAGAAGCATTATTGCAGGAAATGGGGGGTGCAAATATCGTAATTGTCAATAGTTTATCCTTTCTTTCTCCCGACTGGCTTGTGTTCCCTTCGTCCTTTTTCTGCCTCTTTTACAGTCCTCTTTCCCCCTCTGTGTTTTTTTTTTTTTTTTTTTTCTTAGCAAAAGGGAAGAGTGCAAAAAAATGCTAAATTGACCTTGCTCTTATCCTTTTCCTGAGTCCAAAATCAGAGAGACTCACGCCTGAATAGCAGAAGTATTTTTATAACAAATGGGGGGTGCAAAGATCGTGATTCTGAATGGTTTATCCTTTCCCTTTCCCGACCTGCTTGCGCTGCCTCTTTTACTGACCTTCCCCCCCCCCCGTTTTTATATATATATACACAGCCCCTCGTTTGTTGTCCTCTTCTCTCTCTCTGCCTACGGTTTTACTCGGCAGTTCTGTTTGTGACGATATATATATATATATATATATATATATATATATATATATATATATATATATATATATATATATATATATATATATATATATATATATATATATATACAGGTTTGCCAGGCCAAACGTACGGAGGTCCCTGAGCCAACCCCCGAACGCTCGTAAGGGGCCCGAACTTGAAGGGGTTCGGACCCCGCGGAAAATTATTTCGGCACCCAAATATTATTATTTTTTTCTGAATTTTTTTTTGTGAGTTTCTTGTGATGTAAGGTATCTTCTACTTAATTTTGAAGTCATTCTGTTTAGCCAAAAAAACATGAAAAAGCCTCAAAGGTGGTGGTGTCAAAACTTGCTTGCCCACTCACAAATTTATTTTTTCTCTCTTTTCACTTTTGTTTTTTCCTGTATTTCGGGGCATAAAACAATTTATTATTTTTTCACACTTTATTAGTAGGTTCTCTATTATGTAAGTTACACATAGATAAATTTTCATGGCATTTGTCAAAGTCAAAAGAAAAAGAAAAATCTCCAAAGATGGCGGTGTCAAAAACGTGCTCGCCCACTCAATAATTTAATTCTCGTTTTATTTTTTCTACTTTTCATTATTATTATTTATTTTCAGTATTTGATTTTTATTTCAAATTTGGTAAAAAATTTGGATTCAACGTTGAGGCAAATGTTGTTGAGTTTATTCTTCTGCATAACATATAGTTTTTTCAGATTTTTTGGATTTTTTTTTCTTTTTTTAATCCGCATCGCGTTGAGAGGGGGTGCCGAATGTTCGGGCGTTCGGGTTCGGGCATTCGGCCCGTCCCGAACGTCGGCAACCCTGTATTAGGGGCCTCCGTAGGTTCGTCCTGACAACCTTGATATATAATATATATATATATATATATTATATATATTATATATACATACAGGGTAACCAGCGTTCGGGACGGGCCAAACGCCCGAACCTGAACGCCCGAACGTATTGGACAGCTTGGGGATGCGTTAGGCCATTCGAACCGAACGCGGACCAGGAAAAAAAAAAAAAAAAAAAAAAAAAAACAAACTCTGAAAAGAAGATATGTTATGGAGAAAAATAAATTAATCAAGATTTGCCTGAGCATTACATCCAAATTCCTTACCAAATTTGAAATAAAAATAAACACGGAGAAGAAATGAGCATTACATCCAAATTCCTTACCAAATTTGAAATAAAAATAAACACGGAGAAGAAATACTAATAACAAAAATAACTAAAAACAAAAAGAGCATTAAACTTAGTGAGTGCGCGAGCACATTTTTGCCACCGCCATCTTTGGCGATTTTTCTTTTTTTTTTGACATAGATGTATAGATCATAATACAAAAGCCACTCAAAAAGTTTCAAAAAATAATAAAATCGTTCAAACCTCGAACTAAAGTGAAAACAAAAAGTCAAAAGTGAAAAAAAACGTGGGCGAGCACGTTTTGACACTGCCATCTTTGGCGATTTTTCATTCTTATTTGGCTGAACCAAATGACTTGAAACTTTATGGGCATGTACCTCACGCCATAGAGAACTCACAAAAAAAAATTCAGAAAAAAAAAAAATTTAGGCCCTCAAATAATTTTTGGCCTGGCCCGAACGTCGTCGGGTTCGGACCCCGTACGGGACCTTGAACGCCCATACGTACTGAGGTCCGCGCGGGGACCTCTGTACGTATGGACTGGTGAGTATATATATATTCTATTTGTGACGATATATATATATATATATATATATATATTGTCACAGAACTATTGACTAAGAGCATGAGCATGTGAAGTAGAAGAAGAAATAAGATGAGCAAAGAAAAGAAAAATGAAAGGACAGACAGGCAAAGAGACAGACAAACTAGAATGACACTTTGTTTCACAGTATTATTATTTCTTTCAGTCTTTTACAAAAATTATTTACACTGAATCACAGGATAAAAATAAAAAACAAAGACACATTGAAATCATTCAGTTTCTCAGTCTTCTTAACGCCTCCTCCACTGTGCCGCTAACGTATAAGGCTCGCCACGTTGATGAAGTTGAGCGCGAGCTGCCCCCATCCCCGTATGCCATAACAGCCCACTTGCACGCTATGGGAAAGAGGCAGAGTGAAGGAAGAGGTGTCAAACACAAGGGAGAGAGGAGCARAAAAGGAAAATCGATAGGCAGAGGGAGAAAAAATAAAAATAAAATAAGGGTGACACAAACATCTTCTTTCTTTTACTGCATWCTTCTTTCTTTCACAGTTTTGCAGTTTTGGTGAAGAGTTTACCACGTTCATTTTTCAGCACACCTGCACTTCCTTCTTCATTTTTTATTCTCATTTTCACCCTTYGGACTTTTTYTTTGAGGGCGTTAGGGKGCAGGGTACWAACAAAGAAAAACGAYACAAACTTATGTTCTTCTTTTACTGCAGTCTTCACTGTTTTGCAGTTTTAGTGAAGGGTTTCCCACCTTTGCACATTCTTGTACACTCTTTTCAGCACACCTGCACATTTTTGTCAGGGTGCAAGGTACGTCTAAGTAAGACCCTCACGACAGATAGGACAACTATCATAAGGATGCGGGCGATGGTAGGAACCCTCCCGCTGATCTATAGGACGAAAACCATTCAGGTAAGCAACTTCGTCACAACAGAAACCAGGACGGCTAGCATCGACCATACCTCTGAAGCATGCACGGCAGAGGGCATGCCGGTTGCAGGCCATGACCATTGTGGGGCCTTCACCATCACAGTTAAGTGCACATTCGCTATAGCGCCCATAGGCACAGATGGGACATACTGCATCTGGATGCAGAGGATGTTCACAATCCGGATACAGGTGGCATCCCTGCCGACAGCGGGCCCGAAAAATTATATGGTTGTAGTGATGTCGACAAAATCGATGCTTTCCACAACCAAGTGTAACTGTGTCAGTGATCTCATAAAGAAGGAGGTCACAAGGTGTTAGTGCAGCATGCGGGGGAATGAAGACTAAAGCAGGCACGGTGGCAGACATGGAGGTAGGCACGGAGACAGACACACAAACGGGCATGGAGACAGACACAGAAACGGGCATGGAGACAGACACAGAAACGGGCATGGAGACAGACACTGAAACGGGCATGGAGACAGACACAGAAACCGGCATGGAGACAGGTGCGGAGGCAGGCACAGAGACAGGTGCAGAGGCAGGGATGGAAGTACATGAGGTACCTATAGGGTCAGTAATCTGGAAGGAGACAGACATAGAAACAGGTACAAAGACAGGTACGGAGGCAGGCACAGAGATAGGCGTAGAGGCGGGTATGGAAGTACACGAGGTACCCATAGGGTCAATGACCTGGAGCAGTTGCAGGTTAGGGTGATTACGCACGAGATCACAGATGGCAGTAATAGTTTGCACCATAGCATTGCCATTCCATAAATCCCAAGAACCAGAGGCACGGACAAGAGCGGTGTAGTGGCCAGGAGTATGTAGAATATAGGCACAAACGTGCGAACAGTGGTCCGGGTGGCCACCCGAAGGGACACGCTGCATATCAAGCCGGCGCCTTATCAAAGCAGTCTCCAAAACAGAGACATTGAATCCCCCATGTCGAGTGTAATTACTATCCTGTGGGGGATGCAGAGTCGGGTTATTGCCATATAACGCACGTTCCTGAGCATCAAGATCGGAAGCAATGGCCCAGAAATCAGAGTGAGTATATGGTTTCCGACGGTAGGCTTGTAGGCAGATGTTAGTAGCAGCGAGGCCACACAGATTCGGTGGAGGCCAGTCAGGCGGGTTTTCTACAGAATATCCTACAGTCCCCTTGCCAAGTTCATCCTCAGATGGTCCCTCGCCATCATCCCTCCCGTTTTGTGTTTGCCGCGTTGCAGAAAGGTCTGCAGTCGAAGAGYGTTGSAGGCGTGGTAAGGATGYTTGGGGCRGCAAAAGACGGGGACGGGATGTTGGGGAGGGCCGTGGTGGGGAGAATGAACGGGTTCTTCTTCGTCCAAGAACAGAGATGGAGGAAAGGGGAGTAAGCTCAGGTTGGGAAGTAGGTCGAAGTCGGCGTTTAGGACGGTGAAGTAGGCTTTCTGCAGGGGCAGAACATGATGACGGAGTCTGTGTGGACGAAGTGGTTTGTGGATTAGGAAGAGGGGTAATAGATGGAGACAAAACCAGGGGAGGTAGGAGTGGTGATGATAGGGGTGGTAGAGTAGTTGGAAGGTGGGTAATAGACGGTGAAAAAAACATGGGAAATAAAGATGGTGAAGACGGGGGGGATGAAGTCAGGGGTGGTGAAGTGGCTGAAGCAGAGACTGGGGGGGCAGTCGTAGGTGAGACCCGAAGAGGGGACTCTGCAGGTGGTAATGCAGGCATGGCCACGGATGCCATGGAGGAACGCACCGAGACTAAGGGCGGCACAACAGATGCGGTGGTCACGGATGCCATAGAGGAACACACCGAGACCAAGGGCGACACAACGGCTGCGGTGGCCACGGATGCCATGGAGGAACACACTGAGACCAAGGGCGACACAACAGCTGCAGGTCGAGTTGCTCCCGCGGAATCAATCATAGAAGCAACCAAGGCCGATGAGGAAGAGGCWGCGAACCGGAAAGGGGCAGCCAGGGTCACAAACGGCATGGAAGAGGTTACTAAGACTGATGAGGACGCAGGTGCGGCAGACGCAGGTAATGAAGAAGAGGCTGTGATAGGTGTGACAGGCGCCGATAATGAAGAAGGGGTTGTGACAGGCGTAGTCCGAGGACAGTGTGTAGATACTCAAAAAAGCGGGTGATGAATAGACCATCGAAGCATGCTGATATGTTGTATGTAGATTGAGGGGAAACGCCATAAGGCAGGTCTAAATATGATAATTATGAGCTAGGCATTTCATCAACATAATATTGATCATTGTCTGATTGGGCATGGCTGCATGGGTTGAGGTGTAGCAAGGATGTTTGTCTTGCGGCTGGTTGAAGCCAGGGAAGAGATAGGTGTCATTGATTTGATCATAAGCCGACCTTGATAAGAATGATTAGGACGTAATATATGCAGAGTGATGAGATAAGAGGGAGGTTAGAAGTAAAAGAGTAGATAATATAAAAAATTGTTAAGCTAACGAGTCAGTTGTGGCACAGATTTCGAGGACATGTTTGCTGTCAGGTGTCTTCAGGTCCTTAGACCACTTGAGCTGCACTGATTATCCTCATTGTAAAGGAGAGATAGGTGTCAACTCACCGATGAGTGCGGGGGAGATGAATGAGGGAGGAGGTGATTTAGAGTACCGGGGGTTTATATTATTATTGGACTGGCAATGCTGCCGTGTGGTGGTGGCAGTGTGGGTGGTGCCTCGTGACTGTCTTAATTGACTCAACGGACAAATTTAGGCAAAATACAAGATCTACGTGACCAAATTTTCCAACTCTGGCGAGCCACACGCGAATGCTTTTTCTGGATGTCTGGCGTGCAGTCGTTGAGGCTTTACGGTCTTAGACTTCCTTCCCTGCTGATTGTCCGCACCGACGCGGAGGCTCGCTAGAGGCCTTCGTCGCCTCTCGCAAAAGTCGAGCCTCTTGGGATAAGATAAAGTATTGTTTTAGACATGTTCTGAACAATGTCGTAGTTCAAACTACATCCTCCACAAAGAAGTCAAAATCGGCGCACTTAACAGGAGAAATGAGTGTATCCCAAGTGATAAAAAAAAAGGCACTAAAAAACAACACTCCATCACTTGTTTTTCGAAGTGATCGCTTCGCGCGTTTTCATAAACCCAAGATTTATGTTTTACGCGAGCAACGCAGACTTTTAGAGTCTGGACAAAGAAGAAAGAAAAATTAGAATGCGTGAATTCGTTCTATTTGGCATTTTACTATTCAGTGTGCTAAGTTCAAAACAAATTTTACTTTATAATGAAGAAATTCTAGTAGCTTTTAGTTTTGTGGGTTTTGTTTTATTTAGTCAAAAAACTTTTGGCGAAACTTTCAAGGCTACTTTTGAAGCAAGAAGCGAATCTGTTGTTTCGGAATTACAACAACTCATGAGTTCAGCATTTTTGTTGTTTTTGTTGTACATCGCAGTCACTCCTTTGCTGATAGGCTTTTCTACAAATTTATTATTTCATTTTAATTTAGGATTAATTTGGATGTGTATTTTATTCTCATTTCTTTCCAATATGGACCGTTTGTTTCAAAATGATTTTGAAGATGGTACACTCGAATTGTATTGTTTAAGTGGACCATCCACTCGTTTACAAAAGATTTTAATTTCACAATTACTAAGTCACTGGTTACTCAAAATCATGGCTATTCTGTTGAGTTTTCCTGTTTTACAATTGACGGGAAACTGTCACGTGTGGTTCTGAGGGCAGGCGTTCTGCACTGACCCCTATCCTACATCATGATATCTTTTTTTTCTTGATGGTGATTCTGATCTTCGTGTTATGGATGTTGGTTCGTGTTTTTTGGCATTTTCACTAACCAGCTGCCGGAAATATTTTGACTACTGAACAGATGGGAGTTATTTCATCTACACGTGTATGTAAACGAAGACGTGAGTTTTACTGAATACTCAGTAAGTTATACACCACTTCAAATCTATCTTTTCGAGAAGGATAATCTACTCCACAAATATCGATTAAAACTCGAAATCTTGTGTTCGTATGATTTTTTAATCACTTCAGCTGTGATGTTTTTTGTTTTTTGTTTTGGAAATGAAGTTGAAGGATAAATGTAGGTAAATGGCAATCGTTGATCAGATTAGTGCCGTATTTTGATTGAGGGAGTGAGAAATCAGGGGTGCGTTTTGAGGCGTCTGCTTCTGACATGTTGTTGTTAAGAAGGATTGCACCCGGCGTTCACTGATTAACGTTCTTACTTTATATATATAAAAGATTTTTTTTTTTTTTTTTTTTTTTAAGATCGCGGTTGAGTGGCGATCGTAGAATAGGTTTACCAAAGATGATAGTAATGGGTGATTATCAGATGTTTTTAGAGAGGTGGGATTAGGATATCCTCTGCTTTTTTCGTCCCTCTCTCTTTCCCCCCCCCTCCCTTTTTTTTTTTTTGACTTAGATTGTTTCGACCGACAATTATATCGATCAGGTATATCAGATGGATAAATTGTAATTCATCACAGAGGGTATTATCGAGAAGAGTGATTGATCGTGATGTGTTGAGATAAGAGAGGGTTTTGAGAGATAAAGGGGTAATAACCTCCGACTCTCCTTGCACTTTTCCCCCTATTATCTGATGATGTTTAGGATGGGTGGATTTGCGTAGGTGGTGAAAGAGGAGTTCCCGAAGATTGATTGCTATCAAGTTTGATTGAGTGATAGGTGGTGGTGGTTAGAGGTTGATGAGGCGAGATGGGGGAATTGGTTGGTTCGCCGTTTGCATGGTGTCGGGGGTTATAACGGCTAGGGAAGAAGATCATTGGTATCCTTAGGAGTCCTTCACTATTTGTTCTTCACGTCCTTTTTTTTTTTTTTTTTTTTTTATTGGCCTAGTCCTTTGAATAGCGCGTAGGGACTGAGCGGTCCTAGACCATGCTTGGCGCCTTCCTTCCTCCAACCCTATTTTCGTAATTGAGTGGGAAGTTGAGAAGTTATTATATCTGCGCTCTCCTTATTAGCATGATTCTATCTGTCGGTGGTCGATTGCGGCCAGGTGTTGCAAAAATGTATATATATATATATATATATATATAAATCTGGTGTGGGTGAGTGATAGTCTACTTTGATTTTGGTTAAGGCAGATTATCACTTACAGTGTAATCAGTGAGGGGATTCTGCAGACTGTTGAGGGTTCAGCCGCCTGATGAGTCGGTGAAACTCCGACGAAACAGTTTGTCATAGCCCCTCGTTTGTTGTCCTCTTCTCTCTCTCTTCCTACGATTTTACCGGGCAGTTCTGTTTGTGATGAAATATATATATATATATATATATATATATATATATATATATGTATATATATATATATACATATAGGGTAACCGGCATTCTGGACGGGCCGAACGCCCGAACCCGAACGCTCGAACGTGTGGGACCCCTTGGGGATGCTTTCGGCCGTTTAGGCCGAACACGGACAAAAAAAAAAAAAAAAAAAAAAAAAAAAAAAANCAAAAAAAAAAAAAATCTAAAAAAAGATATGTTATGGAGAAAAATAAATTAAACAAGATTTGCGTGAGCATTACATCCAAATTCCTTACCAAATTTGAAATAAAAATAAAATACGGAAAATAAATACTAATAATAAAAATAAATACAAATAAAAAGAGAATTAAATTTAGTGAGTGTGCGAGCATGTTTCCGACACCGCCATCTTTGGCGATTTTTCTTTTTTTTTTGGCATAGCTAAATGCCCTGAAAATTTACAAATGTGTACTTCACATAATACGAAACCCATTAAAAAAGTTTCAAAAAATATTAAAATTGTTTAGACCCCGAACTAAAGTGAAAACAAAAAGTAAAAAGTGAAAAAATACGTGGGCGAGCACGTTTTGATACCGCCATCTTTGACGATTTTTTATTCTTATTCGGCTTTGCGAAATGACTTGAAAATTTTTTTTAGCATGTACCCCACGTCATAGAGAACTCATAGAAAAACATTCAGAGAAAAATAATTATTTTTAGGCCCCGAAATAATTTTTGGCGGGGGCCTAACGTCGTCGGGTTTAGACCTCGTACGGGACCCCGAACGTCCGTACATACAGAAGTTTGCCCGGGGACCTCCGTACGTACGGGCTGGTGACCCTGCATATAAGTATATATTTATATATATTATGTATATATATATATATATTCCCCCCCTCTTTTTTTTTTTTTTTTGAATCCTTCATGTTTATCTGGTGGGGTGCAGTGAGGAAGTGTTAAGGTGTTCCTCTCCTCCTTTCTCTATCCCTCCTTTAAAAAAAAAAAAAAAAAAAACGAGAGGTGGTGAATGAGGCAAGCGATATCGTGGAGGAGGGTTAGATGATCGCTTAAGGGCGAGTGTGAGGGAGTAAATCGTCTCGTCGATTTATTCCTTTGCCTCTTCCTAGGATCTTGGAATAGCAGTTCTCTTTGCTTCCGTTGTTGTCTCGTCCTTTTGTTTGTTTTTTTTTTTTTTTTTTTTTTTTTTTTTTTTTAAAGGAAATCATCGTCTTGCAGATATAATCTTGGTATTGATTGGGATGTGGTTCTGTCTTAATTTTTTTATTTTGTTTTTTGAGAATTTATGCGATAGGAAAGATTCGTGAGTGAAATAAGTCTTCTGCTAATTTCAGCTTATTTTTTCGTTTTGGGACATGCGTTTCCTGCGTTTGTCCTTCCTCATGCGATTACAAGGATTTCTGATTGTGGGATTAACCCTCGTAGGTAGGTAGAATTGCGATGATTTCCAATGAAGAGTAGATGTAGAGGCAGAATCAATCAGAATTGGGATTATGGTAATAGGATGTGATTCATGGGAGAAAGAGATGCATACGAGTGGAGGGAGGAACATGCAGTTTGGATCCGTAGACGAATGTAGTAAGTACTGATCAAGCCGGATTTGTCCCTTACTGCTTTCGTTTACGGTGATATTCTTGCGCTCCTACTTGTATTTGTGCTTTCCCCCCCTTTTTTTTTTTTAAGTTGAGGAGAAATTTCAAACAATCATTAGCATGCATCGAAATCAACTGCTAAAAAAGATGACACCCCAGTAGAAGCAAAGATAGTTATCGATGTTTAAGCATTTGAGTAGAAGTCATACAACATGCATTTAGTTGATCTAAAAATGTTGGGTTTCTTCCTGGTCCTTGGGGTTTTGGGAGTGGTCGGTGGCTGAGGATTGGTAGGGGAAGGGTTTAGATAAGTGGGGGTACGCAAGGAGGGGTGTGGGATGAGAAGCATCGGTTGCATGGCTACTCGAGGTTCGGGTGGCGGGGAATCAAGAGCGAAGGCGTAATCTGAGGTCATAGATCATGGTCTTCTTCTTTTGGAGGACGAAGGGTTAGATGACTTCTTTGGTGCCATGGTGGTCAGTCCGCTGGCTCGTCAAGTAGGGGGAAGGAGAAGGTTCCTTTCGTGATCCTGAGAAGGAGCTTCGAAGAAGATTTGCGAAGAAGGAGGTGGGGCTGGACTTG